AAAATATTAATTTATTAATACAACATAAAAGTAATAAAGGACAATATATAAAAATATTTGAAGTATTTGATATTTTATTAAATTAAATAATTCTAAATTAATATATAGCCGCGCAACGCGCGGGTACGTATACTAGTGAAGAACAATAATAAAGAAGAAGACAATTGAGTTAATATTTATTTTTTCCAAGTTTATTTTAACACATGACCAATTTTTATTGGTCAGTGCTGTCTAAAAGCTGCACCCACGAGCTTAACATAGGTGAAATCACGGACTCAGCCACGTAGGCCGAAAAGTGGTAAACAATTAACTAAAAAATAAGTTCAGGGGGGTAATACGACCTTAGTAAAGGTTAGGTGTGTCTCAGGGATTTTGGGCATAGGCTGGGGGGGTACTTATGCATTTTCCCTAAAATAAACTCTATTTATAAGTCAAAAAATAAGCTTGTAAAGCAAAATGGAAAAGATAACAACTATCTAAATTAAATTTCTCGATAGTGTTAAAAGTTCTTTTTTGTTGGTAGAATAATGTTAGAAGATCAAAAGATTGCATGATATTAATCATCTGCAAATCGTAGTGCAATATTAATGTTTCTTCAATTAAAAGCTTGAGAGGAGATTATTTACTTTTTGTTCAAAAAATGATGTAAGATTAACTTTGAGTGAAAGGAAAACATAACCTTTCAACTTTTTTACTTTGTCTTTTGAATTTCCTGATAATTATAATGAATGTATTCAAAATATTATATTAAATTTTTATCCACAAGCACTTTAAACTAATTAGTTAATTATAAATATTTAATACTAAGGTGTAAAAGTTCTTATTATTTATATTTTGAAAATTAGGATATTTATGAACATAACTACGTACTATTTTTATATAGAATTTAATTTTCTCTTCATACATAACTTATCCACCATTAATGTAATGTTATATGTTTCATCTTCTTCTTCTTTTTTCCAAAAAAAAAAAAGAGTAAACATTTTATCACATTCATTCTTAAAGATGAAAGTTAATGTATATGTACAATTATAAGTTCAAAGAACAAAAAAAAAAGAAGAGAAAATACACATGAGCAAGACAATTAGGCTTCTTTTTTTTTTTTTTCGCTTTTGTCTCACTACTAGAAAACATGCCTGTAGCAACAATTATTTAGCAACAACTAAATATGCGTTGCAATAGACAGTAATTCGCAACGGTTATAACCTTTGCAATAGACAAATGGACCTAATGAAACACTTTAAGAAGTAAATCGTTGCATTATTGCGATAACCGTTGCCATAGTATCTTTTATTGCAACGATTCATACAAACTGTCGCCTTAGGTACTCTATGGCAACGGTTACGCCAAACTCTTTCCCTCCACTAATTTTACTACACCCGCCAAAAGAGTTATTTTTTATTATTAATTGTAAAAATAAAATAAAAGGTAAAATATCACTAGGTTAATTTGTTTCTTCAGACTTTTCATCCTCGTAGGTATCGACTTTCTCCTTTCTCTCTGAAGAACAAAAGTAGCATTTTCCTTTAATCCTTCTTCTTTGATTTTCCTTGTAGGAATCTGTAGCTTTTGGGTCTTCTTCTTCATGGGTTTTACATTTCTGCAGCTACAGGTATGTCGTATTCCATCTTCTTCTAAGTTAGAAATTTATTAGAAGGGTTCTTGAAAAAGATTTGAAAATAGACAAATGGGTTTCTGTGAAGTAGACGTTCTTTGCTAGAGTTTATGTTTATAATGTAATCTTATTGTGCATTAGAGTGTGTATCTCAATTTTGGTGAAGATTGAGAAATCTCTGCAAAAATGTTTAGATGGAAATTCTCAGTTTAGGAAGAGTTAATGTTATGAAAGATGAGTTTCGATTCTTCATTCTACATGATAATTCTTATCTATCGAAAAACCTCAAGTTTTTGAACAGGACAAACGATTTCTAAGAATAAAATGAACTGAAATATTTTTCAACTTCAAAAGTCATTGAAATCGAACATTAAGGGATTTTGTTTCTCTTTTTCGAGTACAATTTTCAAGCTCTAAGTTTATACTTTCTTCCTTCTTGGCTAAAATTTTTAGTGGACAAACTACAAGTTGGTCATCAAGCTCAGCTCACTGCTTAAAAAGAGGTAATGTTCCTGTTTCTCTTATTTTACTTTGATGTATATCTGTGTGTATGTTAGATATTTTACGTTTACTTATCTCTGTTCGTTGTTGCTTATTCATTTTTTAGTTAAATCATTCCATATGACTGTGTTTTTCAGATTTAAGGTCTATATTGTAAGTTTAGAATGTTGGAAAAACTTTCACTTTATGCTTTATTGTAAAAAATATTTCATGATCAATTTTCTCTGTTATGAGTTAAGAGCTTCAGAAACCAGATCATTCATGTTACTTTCTGCCTTAGTGAACTCCATCTCGTCCATTCATTCCCTAGTGTACCAATGCAAGAAAGCTTTTCTTCTGAACATAGCTGTGTAGTGGTGGTGTGTATTCTTCTTGAAATGAAAACAAAAGTTCGAGGTCGTAGCTTTTTTAATGATTGTCATTAGGGTTACCAGGTGCTTTTAACTAGCATTACTGGTTTAGGAATACATTGAGCAGACCTAGCGTCTAGTTGATCATAGAATAAGGTTTTGATTATGAAACCAACCTCTTTATTCTTTGAGCACCGAATAAAACTTTAGGTATTGAGTAGTTCTTTGTTTTCTCCTTTAATATTCTTTTTGTGATAAATATTGTATTTTCTGTTTTAAGATCATTTTTGCTTTTGGAATACATTGAGTAGATCCTTGGTGTAGTTGAGCACAAAATAAGGCTTTGAGTGTTAACTCAACCTCTCTAAGGCTGCTCCTAGATTTAGATATGCATGTCTACATTTAACCATACATCCAAGTTCTCTAAGGCTGCCCCTTGTCTTTTCTTATAAATTTGAAGTTTTACGATTGAGTTGCTTAGTTTCTTGAGTGAGGTTAGTGACTTTGGTTTTGTTGTCCTTTTATGCTTTTCTTTTACCTTTAAATTTATTTAGAAGTCTTTAATTAGAGACACAACACCCTCAACTTGTTAACTCAAATTTGCCTAGTTAGCTTAGTTATGCTTATCTTTAATTTAAAAGGTTATAACTAGTAAAGTTTTCATGTAGTGAGCCATTCACTGCTTAAAAAGAGGTAATATTCCCTTGTCTCTTAATTTTGTAGTCAGTTTCTTTTTAGTCTATTCTCATTTCCATTGATGTGTGTGTGAATCTTGGTTTTTACTCTTCTTTTTGTGTTGTTTATAA